GCTCTGCTACAGAATTACAGTACAGAAAACAGCTTGGTGTTGACATAAAAACAGACAGGAGGACCAATGGAACCGAGCTGAAGACCCGGATATCAGTCCATGAACCTATGAAAACCTGATTTTTCACAAAGAAGCAAAAAAATATACAATGGATAAAAAAGCATATTCAACAAATGGTGCTGGCATAACTAGATATCAACATGTAGAAGAATGAAAATAGATCCATATTTATCACCATGCACAAAAGTCGAGTCCAAATGGATCAAAGACCTCAACATAAAACCAACCACACCGAACCTCATAGAAGAGAAAATGGAAAGTATACTTGAACACGTTGGCACAGGACATCACTTCCAAAACCTCAGTAGCACAGACACTGAGAAAAAAATTAATAAATGGGACCTCCTGAAACTGAGAAGCTTCTGTAAAGCAAAGGGCATGGTCAACAAGACAAAACAGCAGCCTACAGAGTGGGAGAAGATCTTCACCAACCCACATTGGACAGAGGGCTGATCTCCAAAATATACAAAGAACTCAAGAAAATGGAGTACAGACCTAAACAGAGAACTCTCAACAGAGGAATCTAATATGGCTGAAAGACATTTAAGAAAATGCTCAACATCTTTAGCCATCAGAGAAATGTAAATCAAAACAACTCCAAGATCCCACCTTTCACCTGTAAGAAGGACCACAATCAAAAACACTGATGACAACTTATGCTAGAGAGGTTGTGGGGGAAAGGGAACACTCCTGCATTGCTGGTTGGAGTGCAAACTGCTACAGCCACTTTGGATATCAGTATGGCGATTTCTCAGGAAATTAGGAAACAACCTTCCTCAAAACCCAGCAATACCACTTTTGGGTATATATCCAAAGGATGCTCAATCATACCACAAGGTCATGTGCTCAACTATGTTCATAGCAGCATTGTTTGTCATAGCCAGAACCTGGAAACAACCTAAATGTCCCTCGACTGAATAATGGATAAGGATAATGGAGACAGCAGAAAAAAAATGACATCTTGAAATTTGTGGACAAATGGATGGATCTAGAGAACATCATATTGAGTGAGGTAACCCAGACCCAGAAAGACAAATATCATATGTACTCATTCGTAAATGACTTTTAGACATAAAGCAAAGAAAATACAGCCTACAATTCACAATCCCAGAGAACCTAGACAATAATGAGGACCCTAAGAGAGCCATACATGGATCTATTCTACATGGGAAGCAGAAAAAGACAAGCTCTTCTGAGTAAATTGGGAGTATGGGGACATTGGCAGAGGATAGAAGGGGAGGGGACAGGAAAGGGGGGGAACAGAGAAAAATATATAGCTCAATAAAAACAAAACAAAATAAAAGGGTCACATATCTTTTTTTTTAATATCAAGTTCAGTCAGATGTGGGTTTTTCCACAGTGTTTTTTGTTTGTTTTTGTTTGTTTTCTGGGCACTTTGGTTTCTTGTTTCTCTCAGTTTAATGTCTATCAGCTTTTCTGATTTCCCTTTAGTCATGACTGAAGTTTTACAAAAGCCCTGTTCTCCTTTTCACTCCTGTTTGACTTCTTTCCCACCTAGAGATGTCAGGTCACAGTGTCTGAGACACTTCATGTCAGTAAGACAAATGCATTTTTATTAGTTCCCCTGCCCCAATGGCCAAAGTAAAGCACTGCATTTTAAAATCCTGAGTGTCACTATCAGAAGTAGCAGTGGCATTGTATTTTCCCATAGTCACTGAAGTATTTAAGCAAGGAATGTCAAGTTCTTTGTGAATTTTAGTTTATCTCTTCAAAACGTAGCTCCCATTCCAAAGATAGTAAGGGATAGTTAATTCTAAATAAATGTGAGTGTGACCATGGCATGAGAACATGGATTCAGCTTACTCTGCTTGCTGTCTTCCACCACGGAAGAGAGTAAATGAAGTTTGTTACCATAGAACAAAAGTCAGGCGAAAAAATAATGCATTTGTCAATTACATTGGTAAGGACATGAGAGGGGCAGGTTAGAACACAGCAAGGGAATAGCTTCTGTCGATTTTTGTTATTATAAAATTCTTACCTAGTGGTCTGCTAAGTAACAAATCTGTTTTCCCCAATAGTCATAGATATGTTAGCTCAGAGCCAGAGGTTGAAAGTAAATGCTGTTGAGCACCCGAGGAAGTTCCTGCGGATGTTGTCTGAACTGCAGCACCTGCTCTGGGCAGGTGGTCTGGCTGCGATCCCGAGCACAGAGTGCTTCACAGAGCCTCAAGAGGCTCACTTTCCGTTTGCTTTTTCCTAAACCAGACACGAAATAGTCTTGTTCTGTTATGATGAAACTGGCGTTACATTTCCAGATGTCTGATAGATAATGTCTTTAAGATGGGCATTCCCGCTGAGAAAAACTTCCCTTCCTGAAGCTTTGCCTGGGTGTGGCCCCCTTTTCCTCCTTCCGTAGCCTGCAGAAGTTTCATGTGCGTTGCTTACGCTGAAAGTGGCAAAAGACGTGGCACTCAGGAAAATATCTTTTTATCTTCAAGGTTATTACTTTTAATTAAGAATTTTTAAATACAATCTTTTCTTATTTTACATCTATCCCTGTTCCCACTCCCTCCCCTCCTCCTGCTTCACCCCCACCCACCCTCAGAAAGGGTAAGGCTTCCCATGGAGAGTCAACAAAAGTGTATGATTCTTGCTTAAGGCAAATATTTTTGAATGATACAAGCAAATCAAAGCATCCTATTGTCAAACAGCTAAATTTAGAGTAAAAATGATGGGGAAACAAAACTAAACACAAACCACAAACCTAAGAAAACAAGATTTGTCTATAGACACAGTAAAGTGATCCAGCCACTAACTTCATAGAAAATATGACTAATTTTGAATATTTTAAAAGTTTTTTTTATTATTTTAGAATTATTTTTATGACATGTATTCATACGGCTTAAGAAGCCATGTACACATGGGTGCAGTGCCCATGGAGGCCAGTGGAGGGTGCTGATGGGTCTCCTAGGGGTTGGAGGTTCTGGTGGCTGTCAGTGCTTGAGTTGGTGCTGAGATTAAACTTCATCCTGTGCAAGGACAATGAGAAGCTGTAGCCACTGCACAATCTCTTTAGTCTAAAATAATTGAGGCAAAAGTTGTTAAAAACGCACACTCTAACAAAGGCCTAATCTTCTCTAGTCTAACCAGTGTGCATGTCAGTTTGCACACTGGAAAAAATGCACAGAGCAGTCCTGATTCTTTATCTGGTGTGTGGTTATTATATTCATCAGAATTAGAGCTATACTAGTCCAGTGATTTTATTTACATTAGTTTAACTCTGGAGCTAAACTGAACAAAGGTGGGACTGTGATTTCCAAAGAGAATGTAAACAGCCTTCTATTTATAATGTGATAATGTAAGCAATGGGGCAAAAAATCTGGAGGACTCAGGGGGAGCGTAGGCCAGCCCCTTAGTACTCAAACCAGAAGCTAAACCAAAGCCTCAGTCTCCTGATAGCCTCCCTTTTACTAACCGTGAGACTTGAAGGCTACATTTTCCACACTGAGGAAATAGTCAAGGAAATCCAGCAAGTCTGTCTTTCCCTTTTCCTGCTTTTCCCTCTTTAAAGCTAAATGTATTCCATTTGTAAAGGCATTTGCTGTGAGTCTGCTCATATGCTCCTGATTCATCCTATATTTGGGATGATGTTCACCCAGTAGCAAGGAGGGATATTTCTAATTGATATGAGGATAGTTTTTCCTTTCCTATCATTGTACTTTAATGTGTTTCTTGGCCTTTAAAATAATAACCTAGTGAGAATTTGTTGCAGTGATCAAAAATACATAAATTCCCTTAAGGATCTTCTTTATGAGTTATGTCAATAAATTTTAGACAAAATAAAATTTTTTAATAGAATGGATTCAAGGAATCATGGTGAAAATTTTGGGTACTTTGTGTCAGTTAAATAATCTTTTGTAACAAAATAAGTATTTGAGAAAAACAAATACAAGACAATGCCTTTGAAAAACTGACTGTGGTGTTGGGGTGTGTAGCTCAGTGGTAGAATGCTTGCCTAGGACTCATGAGGTCCTGAGTTCAGTCCCAGTAACCGGGGAAAAGCTCAGCAATAGAAGTTTGCTATATAGACAGTTAATATGAATCAAGCTTGGATAGCTGAATGACCAGTAGTCACCCCGGAAGCCGTAGCATGGAATTGGTCCAGTTGTCCTCCCACACTAGTCTACCAGAGGGCAGTGTGACACTGTGACCCAAGAAGATAGATTACGATGTCTTCAGAAATTAATGGAAGGTGCATCTTGGGAACAAGAAGGGGAGAGAAAGAAGAGGGCTTCTTCCATGTGATTTGTAGGCAGCGCGGAGCGGCCTCACCCCAGGTCCTTCTGCCTTGGCCTCCCAAGTCCGTCACTGTGCCTTGCTAAGATTGTCCTGAGGTTCCTTTTTTAAAAGAGGGAGGAGAGGAAGAGAGCGAGACTATAAATCAATGGAATAGTGGTGGGATATTTTGACGATATATTGAGCAGATACAACTGACGGTGTGTTTTCGTAAATGTACACTATCTAGTGTCCAGAAACCAAGAATGACTATTTTGGAACATTACTTAGCAACTCCAAATACAATCTTGATGGTGAAATTAGCTATTCTCTGCGTGTCTTCCAGGGCTTAAGAATATTTTGGGTGCATTGTTTTGTTTTCCCAAAAATAACAGTCTTGGAAATGAATGTTAAAGTGTGAAATTTTACTGAGGTATTTTGTTTTATTTTATTTTATTATTATTTTTTTGAGAAAGGGTTTCTCTGTAACTTTGGTGCCTGTCCTGGAACTAGCTCTTGTAGACCAGGTTGGCCTTGAATTCACAGAGATCTGCCTGTCTTCGTCTCCCAAGTGCTGGGATTAAAGGCGTGTGCCACCACCGCCCAGCAAGGTTCTCTCTTTTTTTTCTTGTTATTGTTCATTCTAAATGTTTTGAAAATTGCAGTCAGCATGTTACCTACTAAATTGTTCTAACCTCTTTCAGAAATAATTGCTAGGAAGGCCTCCGTAGCCATGGCGAGTTCTGACGTGAAACCAAAATCCATAAGTCGTGCCAAGAAATGGTCAGAAGAAATAGAGAACCTGTACAGATTCCAGCAAGCAGGGTATCGGGACGAGATCGAGTACAGACAAGTGAAGCAAGGCGCTATGGTAAGATTGATGGCTCTTCAAGCTTGCTACAAAACCAGCTTCACAGAGGGGGAAAAGTATCTTAATACAGAGTAACAAAACACCACTGAAAGGAATTCTCTGAAACTCCCATCTCAAGAGAGGGAGACAAAAGCCCCTGAAGGTGGTCTATAAATTGGGGGCCAGTGTGCTCCTTTGGCTGGGCACATTCACTTTCTCAACTACTGCGGTCTCTAATATAGGAGTCTTCAAACGGTCATTTTCCTTACTCTGGTAACTCTATTATATATTCAGTTGTGGTCAAACATTATTTCCCATCTGCTTATTTTGACAGTAAATTAGAAAGGACTTGCGTACATTGGCTTCTTCTTTTCTTGTTTGTTTTTTTTTTCTTGAGATAAGATCTCACTGGAAACTAGGCTGACCTTGAATTCACTCTGTGCAAGAGCACCTCAGATAAGCATCAATCCTCCTACCAGTGCTTCCCAGGCTCTGGGATTACAGGAGCAAACTTCACGTCTGTGTAGCTACACTCTACAATTAACAACTAATTTAACATTAATGGATAGCAAGCTAGATAACTCACACCATTGGGTACCTCCCGATTTGACCATTTACCTGACCATGGAGTTTTCCCTCCTGTAATTCTTATAGTTGATGCTTACAGAGCGACCTGGAGTTCTCTGAAGAGCCAGTAGGTGTGTGTACACTAACGAGGGTGTCTTTGGAACCTGGTGAAGGGATAAGAACCTGTCCCAGCATCTTGGGAACACCCCCTTTCCCTGTTGGTGGCAGCTCTGACTTCAGCGTTAGAAACAAGCTTTGTAGCTGTTTTCCTACAAAGCAAATGCAGCTGGACCTGCCACACTGACCAGATGTGTGGGGTCTGTTTCTACTGCCACATAATCAAAGCAGGCAAGAAGACAAAAGGTCCGGGCATTGTGACACATGGCTGAGATCCCAGCTCTCAGAAGACTCGGGATCTTAAGCTTGGGCTACATCGGGGGAGTTTGTCTCAAGCAAAAGCAGGTGAAAGAATTGGAAAGGAAAAGCGGGCAAATTTACCAGAAAATAATAGACACGGTCCCCCAAATAGTGCACTCATTTTTCCTCCCAGTTGCAGGCTGTGATTTATAGGAGGGCTGGGAAAGGGAAGGGCTGCCTGTATCAGCCCTCTTAAAGAAAAGGGTTTGATTTTCCAAAACTTGAACTTTTGATAATGATAAAGTGTATCTCACACAATTCAGAAGGAACATTTTTATCAATAAAAAGAACACATTGGGTCCCAGTATGCACTGTGATGAGTTATGGACCAAAGAAAAGTTATTACTTGAGACTTAACAAGTTCCTAGAACACATATGCGTGTGCTTGAGCATGCGCGCGCGCGCGCGCGCACACACACACACTGTGGCTGGACTTGTAGCTTTGTTAGTAGAGTGCTTGCCTTGTATGCATGAAGCCACCCTGGGCTCCATTTCTAACACCACATAAACCGAACAAGGTTGTAATTACACGCCTGTAATCCTCAGGTGGAGCAAAAGATCAGAAATTCAAGGTCATCCTTGGGCTACTTGCCACAGACAGCAAATTACGTGAAATATCGTCTGAAACTAACAACAAAGCCACCACTTACTAACCTGATCAAGAAAGCATAACATTGAAGCTGGAGAGAAAGAAGAAAGCATACAAACCAGATCAAGGCAAACAATAAACAACTGAGACAGAGCAGGGACTAGTGCTGAGAAGAAAGGATTGCTGAGGGCTCTATGGGTTCAAGTTCTATTAAAAGTTGGACTTGATCATCAACTTGAAGCTTGGGTAGAAGTGCATAGGTGCCTTCCTTTAGTCCAGAGGTTCTCAACCTTTCTAATTCTGTGACATTTAATACAGTTCCTTATGTTGTGGTGACCCCAACCATAAAGTACTTCATTGTTATTTCATAACTATAATTTTGCTACTGTTATGTATGAATTGTAATACAAATATATGATATGCAGGATATATGAAATAAAACTGGCATGACCACATTCTCGTTCTCGCCCTTCCCGTGCAGGTAGACCGCTGGCCAGAGACAGGCTACGTGAAGAAGCTTCAACGGAGGGACAATACTTTCTACTACTACGACAAGCAGAGGGAGTGTGAGGACAAGGAAGTCCATAAAGTGAAAGTTTACGCCTACTGACCTTCTCATTCCTTTGGCTTGTCAATCTTATTTTACGAATTCATTGTTAACACTTTCCATCATGTAAATGGCATTTTACAAAACATTCAAAATGCTGTCTTTAATTCAGTGTCTTACAATATAAACACCGTGGAACCTGGCTCTGGCCAGACCGGTCATCATTGCCGGTTCTGAACAGTTCTGCAGTTGCACAGAGTCTTCTTAGCCTTGGGCCCTGCCCTTCTACCTCCTTCTGAGCATTTTAGTGGCTCCATCGGGAATCCAACCCTTTGGAAGCCACTCCAAGGGTTAGACTATGTATTTATTTATTTTAGTGGCTCCATCGGGAATCCAACCCTTTGGAAGCTGCTCCAAGGGTTAGACTATGTATTTATTTCCTTACAACAGATCAATACTTCACTTAGAGCTCGCTCCTAGCCTCTCTCTGTCTACAATAGCACTTGCATTTTCTGACCTGAGGGTTTTGTTTTTTCCTCTTGGGTCTTTTGCCTCTTGCAGAACATAGTGGAAATACAAAGTATGATACCTACCCTGGAGGAGCCCTCCACAAATGTAGAAACGTGCAAATGTAGACATGTATCTAACGTGCGTGTGACTATATGTAGGGTTAGTCCAGCATCACAAGAAGAGCGAGAACACACACACACACACATGGAAGGAGGGAAAGACAGAGGAAGAGGGAGGGACCCTGAGAAATTACACATCAGGCCTGTAATCTAGAAGGAGGAAGATTTATTCTGGCTCATAGTTTCCAAGATTTTGGTTTGATGTTAAATGGCTTCGTTGCTTGTGGGCATGAATGTCATGATGGGAATTGTATGTTGGAACAACACAGCTCACCTCATGACAGCCAGAATGCAAACAGGAGCCAAGGACAAGGGCAGACTTCCTCCAACAAGTACCCCCCCCCCAATACACACACTTTTTAGTCATCTTCCCATAATGCCACATTACAAATCTATCATGGGATTAATTCATTGATTAGGACAGAGCCTTCAGGACCCGGTTACTTCCTGGAAGTCCAACAGACAACCAAACCCCTTGCATATGGACCTGTGAGGAACGTTTCACATTCAAGCCATATTGTGCGTCTAGTGATGCCAGGGGATGTGACAATGGTTTGGTGGCTTTCTCACCCCACTTCTTACCCATCAGTGGGAATGATAACACTTCTCTTACCCAGTTATCGCAAGTTTTTGTATGTCACAGCAACTGATTTAATTATGTGGACCATACAGCGAGTGGGAATTACCCCCCTCCCCATGGGCCCCGGTATTTACATACTTGGTTCTCAGCTGGAGGTCCTGTTTGGGAGATTAGAAAGCCTACTTCTGCTTTGTGTGTGTGTTTGAAGATGTGAGCTCCTAGTTTCCTGCTGTGGTCTCTTGTTGGCATGCCTTCTCCATCATTATGAACCACTTCCTTCCTCCTTGAACCAAAAGCCAAAATAGGCTCTTCTGTAAGTTCCTCTTGGCTATGATATTTTACCACAACAATGGAAAAGCAAATCATACAGATCACCACGCATTGGTGCATGGATTCAACTCCTGGTCTGACATTCGAATCACTCAGGCAGCCTTTAACAAGGATAGCCGTCTCCTCACTCTGTTTACCAGACAACCCCCTAGGCCTCACCTAAATCCATTAAAACACTAATCCCGCTTTCCCTCCCTCTCTCCATATCTTTCTGGCCTGCTGTTTTTTTTTTTTTTCTCACACTGATAGTCAATTCAAGGAAAGTTTTGCTTTTGTTTCTCGCATGATGGATCTATTAGTTAGTGACTCCACTGCTTGCTCTGCCAGTGCATGCTTTTTGCTGCTTGCTACACAGTTCCGTTGCTGACGTTATGATCATCCTATTCAGCTTGGGTGGAGTGCCAACTCCAGGGCAAAAGGGACCACAACTTCATTGTGACCCAGTGTCCTTAAGAGCTCTCAACAAAAGTGCTTGTCAGAGGCTTCCATCCACTCCTTGAAGTATGTCACAATACATTGGTGCCTCTCCCAGAAAGTGCTGGGAATCATGGGCCCCTTTGTCACTGGAAAAAAGTCGAGTCAGGAGAATAAGTTCAGTCAGGTGACTCGAAGGTCTCCCGCCCAACTTGCATCCAGATCACAGAATCGATGCCTGTGCCTTCTCCTATTATTCCTAATTGTCTGCCATCTGCCTGGCTAGCTATCATTTAAATATTCAAAGACTTTAGAAAGATACCAAAGAAAGAGCTAGGGAGTCTCTACGGGGTTTGGACAGTTTACTTGGTGCTTGGCTGTGGACACTCGGTGGACAAGGACGTGCATGAGCAGGATGGAGGGGTGGAGAGCTGGTTCAAATGGGTCTTCTCTGCTTGTCCGTTAGAGGTTATCCTCCTATGTTTCACCAGCTTCATAGAAGAGAAGTGCCTGGGAATGTGCTTCCCTTGCTAGCATCTATTATTCCAGTCGCTGACTTCACAGGACACGGCCCCTGTGACTTCAGACCCTGACATGTTTCCCATGTTCCCCTTCAAAGGCGGAGGCCTTTCTTGTGCCTTCTGTTTTTACCTTACTCTGAATCTTCCGTATGTCCCCGAGACAAAGCACCAGGCACTGTATCTGGTTGCTACAGCAGCGCTATAACTCATCACCCAAGAAAAGCACAGTTAAATGTATTAGGGGAAAGAGAAAGGATACCATAGGGAGGTGTCACTGTCACATTATTATAAATGTCTCTTTAGGAATGATTCCCTCCCAAACGCCTGAACCTCGCTAGACCATGTTCACAACATGTAAATGTCTAACCTGGTCCTCCCCTCGTGGAGCTGATACTGTGAACTATCCAGGGCTGGTTCAGGCTTCCCAGGGCCACATCAGGCATCGGTGTCTACTGTCCTATTGGCTGTATCCGTACACGATGAATTGCTGTCATGTCCCTGCTCTGGCTTGAGGGGTCTGTCCATTCTAATTCGTAGTTTCAGAGCAGGGAGCTGCAGGTGGCTGACTGTGGCATCACTACTAGCTTGTCTTTCTGAAGCGTTTCTATGGAGACTTCTCAAGCAATAGTCCCCATTACATAGAGTAGGAGTGGGTCTGTAAAGCTTGTAGTGATTCTCCCCTGGGTGAGTCCTGCAGGTAGAAGGTCTGTAGTATGTCTCGGTCATTTATTAGCTCCTTGTTACCCTTTGTGACTTGTGAAGTGTAGGTACTTTGTCACTTTCTACCATTTGAGGGGGTTTATACCTCAAGTTCAGCCTAGTAAGTTCTGGTTTTGTCATCTTCTAGGTGGCACTTTACTGGGAAAATCATGACAAGCATTTGACATCTGGTGGCAGGGTCATGTTGGCATCTGCCAAAGCACACCAGGTTTCCCTGAGCTTGGTACAGGACTGGCGTGGTCTCTCTGCCACCTCTGAAAGGGTGGATTCCTCTCCTAATGGCACTCTCTGCAACCCCCAGGCACGTTGGGTACTCCTGAGCACACATTGCTGGCAAGAGCACGTGATGTCTATCACCCTGACGTGAACCCCTGATGCAAGAGCGTCAGCCCACGTGGTTCTCTAGCTTCTGTGGTATAGTCAGCTTTACAGCTGGGAGGCTACATCTTCAGGTAGGATTCTTCAGACCATTTGATCTTGGCAACTTGATCAACTTCGTCGCTTTTAGGGGGACGAAGGATTGGTAAGCCACAGAACACCAAGTGTTTCCACACATCCCACCCCACCCATCGTTGAGTCTGCCACTGAGGAAGCTACAGTGTAGGGCTCTTGGAAATGACCCACTGTCAATGCATTGAATTAGGATTTTCTGCCCTTGTTATTAAGATTCATATTGATTGGAATTTGTCCCACTGACTGCTAGAACCTTAGCTGTTATCATTGCAGACATTCCCTGTCTTTGGAAGGTAAGTTAATACCTTCTACTGCAAGGGGTTTCCCTTTACCTACCCATCAATGTGCAGTGCTTCCTTGAGGATCAGGGGCTCCCCTCCCTTCACTGATGTGTACAGTCTGGCAGTTCATGGAGAAAACCACCCCATCTTCTGCCTCATATGTAATGGGACCCAAAGTATTATAGCTCTCCACCCGTTATTGTCAAAGATATTTTACTGGACCAAGGTACTCATCTGGGCAGTGCCTATCCATGGATGAGTTTGCAGTTGCTGTATCCAGCCTTCGAGAGAGAGTCAGGTCCTTCTTATTCCCACACAAGTTGCACACTGGAGAAACTTTTTCAAGTATCTATGAATGGGCCAGTTCCATTCAAATTAGGAAAATAGAAACTTTTTTTAAAAAATTAAGTTCATGTGGCCTTCTGACTTGAAGATGTGTCCCAAGGGAGCAGCCTTCCAGTTGGATTATTCCATCTGGGACCACGTCTCATCACATTTATAAGGTTCTCTTTATATAGGGTCTATATAGGGTCTATTTAAGAACTCCATATGGGGTCGTAGTGTGGACAATTTCCCACACAACATTGGAAGACTGTCAGGAGTAGTTATCCCTTGTGAAGCTGATGCAACTTGAGAAAAAGTTAACAATTAGAGGATTTGGTAGGATTCAAAACGGGTCAACACCCTGTTTAAGATGGGAGCCAGCAGATGCTTATTCCTCAAAAGAGCAAAGAAAGAACCTTCGTCCAATGACAGATGGAGATAGAGTCAGAGACCCACATGGGAGCACTAGACGGGGCTCCCAAGGTCCAGATGAAGAGCAGAAGAAGGGAGAATATGAACAAGAAAGTCAGGACTATGAGGGGTTGATCCACCCACTGAGACAGTGTGCCTGAGCTAATGGGAACTCACCAAATCCAGCTGGACTGGGACTGAATGAGCATGTGATCAAACTGGACCCTCTGAATGTGGCTGACAATTGGGGCAGACTGAGAAGCCAATGATAATGGCACTGGGACTTCTCTACTGCATGTACTGACTTTTTGGATCTTATTCTATTTGGATGCATACCTTCCTAAGCCTGCATGGAGGGCCTTGGACTTCCCACAGGGCAGCACACCCTGCCCTCTCTTAGGACTGGTGGGGGAGGGGAAAGGGGAGTGGAGGAGCAGGAAGGAAGTGGGAGGAGGGGAGGA